TCAATCGAATCTTTAGATCATGATGTTCTTCGAGAAAAACTTGTGGAAAAGACGCCTTTGGAATTATTTTTTTTATATTTCGATGATGAAATGCTAAATTTAATTATTAACTTTTCTTTAAAATACGCACACGACAATAATCGACCAAACTTTCGTTTAGACAAAGAACAATTATTAAAATTTTTAGGTATTGTTTTACTTTCTGGATATCACACATTACCAACAATTCCTATGTTTTGGTCTAATGAAGAAGACAAAGGGGTCGAAATTGTCAAAAAAACCATGAGTCGTAATACATTTCAGAACATAAAACGAAACCTTCATTTATCAGATAACAGTCTATTAGATCCATCTGATAAATTTGCAAAAATACGACCATTCCTTCAGCTTATAAACAAAAAAAATTTACAATTTGGTGTTTTTAGTCACAATTTATCTATTGATGAACAAATGGTTCCATATTTTGGGCGCTATTCATGTAAAATGTTTATCAAGGGGAAACCGGTAAGATTCGGTTTCAAACTTTGGTGTTTATGTTCATCTGACGGATATTTATTTCACTTTGAACCTTACGCTGGAGCCGCAATGAAAACGGGAAAATCAAAATTAGGCTTGGGTGGTGAAGTAGTTATGCAATTACTCTCTGTAGTGAAAAATCCTCATGTTCATCGGATATTTTTTGACAATTTTTTTTCATCGTTTGATTTGTTTGTTGAATTGAAAAATAAAGGTTTTTTTGCTACCAGTACTGTACGCGATAACAGAACGAAAAATTGTCCGTTAGAAAACATTAAATGTAGTTCAAAGAAGGAAAGGGGTTTTTATGATACAGTTTTTAAGAAAAACACGTTTGTAAAAAATTTGTTAATCCAATCAAAAACTATTGCGTTAATCAAAGTTTTGTAAGAGATCAATTGATAGATAATTGATCACTATACAAAAATACTGCCCGTTTGACAAAATTAGCAGAGGCGTTGAAAATATTTTTAAAAAAGGGCTTTATATTGCAGATAATGTTTAATTTTAAAGAAACTTTGACCCGCTATATCTTGTTAAGGAGGCATTTGCGACCCGATGTATATTAAGACTATTCATCTTAATTTTTCATGTATTATCTACTCTAGAAGTCTGTCAGCGGTTTTTTGAATCACCCTGTAGACTGTTCCACAGTATAGACTATGTTTTACTTAACTCTTTACTCTGGCTGTATCGAACCAGTGACGGCAATCTGCGGGGTAATAATCGATACTACAGAGGTATAGGGAATTAGGTAACCTTATGTTCTATAGACCTATCTTTTTGTTATCCTTATTCTTTGCTTCAAATACCTTTTTTACTATTATGTTATGATCCATTCTAATTATGTGGGCGTACCAGTTTGTAGTTGCTTACTCTCTATTTTGCTGATTATCTCCTCTTGATTGATTGAGTCTTATTTCCTCATTTCTTATCTTATACCACTTCGTTCATTTTTACGGAAAATAGTGGGTAAATTTTCCGTAAAAATTTCATTTCCATTGCTGCGATTTTGCCTTCTTGTTTATCTTGGAGTGTCCATGATTCACTGGCACATGTTAATATTTGGACTGTCACCGAGTTGCACACTTTCAATTTTATCTTTTCATCTATCTCCTTCTTCCCAAAATTTGTTTTCTTTAGAGTATGATATGCGTTGTTTGTTTTCCATATTCTTGCATTTATGTCTAAATTAGTGGTGGAATTAGTGGATATCTGGCAACTATCCAGTATCCGGCCATTTTTTTTTATCCGGCCCTCCAATAGTTACCAAATATCCGGCTTTGGCCGGATATTAAAAACTTACTACTTAGTACTCCACCATTCACAGGAATTCGTATCTCCTTTAGGTGTTGGACACTGCAGGTAATATCTATATTGTTGATCAAGTTCAACCCAATAGGACTTTTTTCGTTGAATACAACTTTATTTATATCAGGTTTATCATTAGTAACCTCATTGTAACAATCCCAATACGATATATGTCTAAAATCTCTTGTTGCAGTTTCGTCTAGTTTTCTTCTCTTCGCTTGTAATTCATCATCTCATTCATTACTAACAGAACTGTCGCTGTTATCCCTTTCGATTATTAATTAAAGTATCCTCTTTTTAATGCAAAAAGCCGTTTTGAAAAATCCAAAACAACATTTGAATTTTTGATCAAATTTTCGATGTTGCAATTTTCATCGATAACTTTCAAAATTCGCTATCAAATTCATGTCTGGAAGGATCCTGGTGGAAATATCATCAATTATTAATTAAAGTATCCTCTTTTTAATGTAAAAAACCATTTTGAAGAATCGGTTTTAGTTCATGGGAAATACATTTTTGAAATAATCGACAATTTTTTCGAATTTTGCAATTTTCGCCGATAAAGCTTTAAAAATGACTGAAAATTTCCTAAAGTGTTAATAAAAATGTCTTCTTTCCAATGAACCAACCCGTTTTGAAAAATAGCTGTTAGTTTTTGAGAAAATAATATTTGAAGTTTTGATAAAATTTTCGATGTTGTAATTTTCATCGATAACTTTCAAAATTCACTATAAAATTGATTTCTTGAAAGATCCTTGTGGAAATATCACCAATTATTAATTAAAGTATCCTCTTTTTAATGCAACAAGCCGTTATGAAGAATCACTTTTAGTTCTTGAGAAATAAATTTGTAAAGTAATCGACAATTTTTTCGAATTTTGCAATTTTCGCCGATTAAGTTTTAAAAATTCGTATAAAATCCAGTTCTTGGAATATGAGTATGAAAATTTCCCAAAGTGTTAATAAAAGTATCCTCTTTCCAATGAACGAACCCGTTTTGAAAAATAACTTTTAGTTTTTGAGAAAACAATATTTGAAGTTTTGATAAAATTTTCGATGTTACAATTTTCATCGATCACTTTCAAAATTCGCTATAAAATTCATTTCTTGAAGGATCCTTGTGGAAATATCACCAATTACTAATTAAAGTATCCTATTCTTAATGCAAAATGCCGTTTTGAAGAATCACTTTTAGTTCTTGAGAAATACATTTTTGAAATAATCGACAATTTTTTCGAATTTTACAATTTTCGCCGATTAAGTTTTGAAAATTCGTATAAAATCCATTTCTTGGAATATAAGTATGAAAATTTCCCAAAGTGTTAATAAAAGTGGTAAAGATATATATGTTCATCGATTCTACTGACCTTGTATGCATCCCATTTAAAATAATAATATTGGTTGCCATAGCAACGAAACAAAAAACAATACAAACAAGCAAATATCGCCAAAAAATGCGCTACGATTAATAAAGAAACTTGTATTTGAAACATTTTTCTTTAAAACCACAAATGGCGAAGTTATTGGCTATATTCCAGACATTTACATACTCTGTATATACATACTTAGAAGCCACTCCTTCCCTTTTATCGTCTATCTTGTCTTTGCCGTTCTTGTCAAAGACAAGATGAAGTGTTGTCTGTTTTCATCTTCATCATTGCCTCTCCTAATTCTTCCATTGTTATCTTTTCAGTTGCTATGTCTGTAGTGTGTTCCTTTATCTCATCTTTTCTTCCTTCCTCCATTGTTTGTTTCCGGTTTCCATCCTTGAACTTTTTTCCATACAAATTTGGTCTTTGTCTTTGACGGCTTTTATTTGTTTCCTTTGATCTCCCTTCAGTTTTCTTATTTGATTCCGGAATTTCCAGTTATTCGATCTTTTCTTTTTCACCTCCCTTACCATATTCTTAGCTACATCTCTGTTCTATAGTTTACTCTATTCTCTTCCGAATTCGTTCTTATGTATTTCTTCTATGACTCTTTCTTCTTGATTACCTGTCGGACCTCTTCATTCCACCAGTGTACTGTCTTGGTCTGATTACTATATTTTCTCATTCCACACACCCCTATAGCTTTATTTTGCATTATCACTTTAAAAATTCACCACCTTTCCTCCAGTGTTAAATTCTCTGTTTGTTCTAATTTTAGAAATTCTTTGTTTGTTTTTTCTTGGTATTTTAGTCTTTCTTCCTCCTGTCTGAGTTTATAGATGTTTATTTTCATCTCTTCTTTTTGATTTCTATATTATTAATAATTGTCATGACTAGTCTGTGGTTGGTTTCCATTTTTGCTTCAGTCTTTACCTCCTTGACTCTGTTATGGAGATTCCAGGTATATGTGATGTAATCAATAATACTTTTAGCATTCCTTTCTTCCGCCACAAACGTATATTTATCTTGCCTTCTCTCACTCCATATAGTATTTCCAATCAATAAGTCGTTTATTTGACAAAATTCCAGCATTTTTTGCCCATTGCAAAACTTGCAATGCAAATTTGCAGACTTGAGTAAAAATCTCGTATTTCTTCTTCTGTTCCTTCCGTTGGTGCGTAGATTTGAATTATATTCACCTTTTCGTTTAGGTCAATTCCCAATTCCAGAATTCTTGAATTTATTGGTGCATACTTATTTACTCTTTTATTTAACTGTACGTTTATTATTTCTGACAGCTTCTTCATCCACTATCTTCCCCTCGTCGATTGCTTCATCCTTTACAATTATTTTGTTGTATTACTCCTTTCCTCCTGAGTTTCCTTAGTTCAGTCATCAAATCATATCTCTCTCTTTCAATTTTCTTAGAGTAGTCCTTATCTATCCATATATTCCTTTGTTAGTTTTACTAATATTGGCCTATTGTTGTTCTCTTTATATGCTCCTATTCTACTAGTGATATCAATATCATCGCTTGTTAAATTTACTCCGATATTCCTCATCAAGAAACTTTCAAATCTCTCTTCTTTAATTCCATTTATTACCACATTTTTACGTCTTACCTTTCTTCTTAGCATATCTATACGTTTCTCCTGTTCCACAATCTTTCATCATTTATGTCTCTGAACATATTTTCAATTTTTTCCATATCTGACCTCCATCGTCTATCCGTTCTATCAAATTCGATTTTTAGAATGAAATCTTTATGAACACAAAAATTCCTATTACAGCCCTGTTTATGCCCCCTAAATTTGTTGTTGACGGCACTCTTATCAATTAACCGCCCTCAATCTGATTATATTATTCGTTGTTTTATGAAAATATACCCTTTTTACCAATGAAATCCACTTTTCCTCACTATCACTAATAATTCAAGTTCAGCATTCTAATGATTCAGTTATCTATATCACATATATCTTGTTGTAGTGAAGAAGACGCTGAAAGTGATTTAGGTTGGACGTTGTACAATAATATAATGGGACAAGTTAATAATATATTTAAAAACGCTGAAACTAACCCAAAAGAACTTCCCCAATCTAATAAAGGTGTTAAAGAAATTAAAGATAAAACTTTGAGAAGAGTTAAAGAAGCTACAATGAAACATTTAAAAAATATTGGAGTTAATCTTCCTTTAATCGATGAAAAAGATGTTTCAAAGTATGTGTATTAATTAAAAACGTTTTGAGTTATTTTTTTAAATAAATATTTATAGGAACACAACAACTAGTGACGATTTTAGTGAATCTGATGTAAGTTTTGCTGTAAAACAACTATTAATGAAATATTTACCTGATGAACAATTAGCAAAATTAAGTAATAATAAAAAACAAGCAGATTTAGCTGAAAATACGATTAAAAGAAGACCAGAATTTTCATTTGCAACGATTCAATACATGAAAAAGTACAACTTATTAGCTTCATCAGGTGAAGTTTTAGATGGAAATCCACAAAATCTTCGACAACCGTCTTCAAAAGACGCGAAAAATCAAAAAATCTTAGATGTAACTGCATTAAAACAACAACCGAAACTGTTATGAGACGATTTTTTATATATTTTTAATAATTCTACTATTAATTCTATCTTTTCAATAATTTAATTTTCTAACAAATAACAAAAATAAAATAAATATCTACAACTTTCAATTTATTTTAAACGACTAGAGCCTCCTGGTGATCCATATTACACGCTAAAAGATTCGCCACATCCACAAGTGCCTTTTATATTGGGATTGTTAAAAACAAATTCAGAGCTAAGTTTATTTTGGACATAATCCATTTCTGTTCCTAGTAAAGTTAGCTGTGCCTTTTTATCAATAATAACTCTAACCCCATCCTGGACGACTTCTTCATCCATCGGACCCTTTTTCTCTGCATAATCTAAAGTATAAGATAACCCATTACATCCTCGTTGACGAACTCCAATCTTTAAGCCAATCTAAAAATTAATTTTTTTATTAATCTCGTTTAGTTCATATTTTATCTTGTTTTTACGAATCGATCTTTTCCTTCTAAAATTTCTTTAACTCGACTGACAGCTGATTGCGTCTAAAAAAAGAATGTATAGGTTAGGTTTATGTAATGGATTAAAAATTGAGGTTAGAACGCACCAACACCAACGCAGCTCTTGTGGGTAAAATTCTCCTACCTTTAACAGCCCTCACGGTGGCTGTAGCGACGGTTTTAGTTGCCATTATATTAAGATTTTATAAAAAGAAAAAAATTATTTTTGTTCGAAGTGTCAAAAAATTGTCAAAACATATTTTCAAAGATACCAACATAAAAGTATATGTTGAAATGCAATTATCGAGTTAATTAATTAGTAATTATTAATATTGTTTTCTTTAAACAAATTAATAATTAAATAAAATTGGTGATTAATAAGTAGATTTATGAATGAGTATAAATTAATTGATTAAATTTTTTTGGTAATATATTTTTTTGGGTTGGTCCTTCCGAATCTTACTAATCATCTAAATGACATTTGACATTTTTTCCCCTAAAGTGACTAAAAACATATGTATTTCTCATCGTTAAGGTCATTGACAAAAGTGTAAGAACGAAACTTGTTCGGGAAAAACGTAAATTTTTCTTTAAAAAATTCGTTTTTTAACCGAATCAAATCAGGAGCGTGTCAACAATGAGCTTCCTTTTGTAAGTACAAAACATCAAGATAACACACTCCCCAAAAAATTGGATTTTTCTATTTTTAACCTTTCCTCGTTTTTATTTTTAAATTTAATAGTGGAAGCCGCTCCTCGAAAACCTTTAAACCAAAGAAAAACATCCCGGAGGGTACGCATCAATATGAACTTATGAAACATGCTGCGGCTACCTTAGGTTCAGGAAATTTAAGACTTGCTGTTATGTTACCTGAGGGGGAAGATTTAAACGAATGGGTTGCAGTTAATAGTAAGAATAAAAAGAAAACAAAAAAACTCAAAGATTTAAATTACTTTAAAATATTTTTTAGCTGTAGATTTTTTTAATCAAATTAATATGTTATATGGGACCATAACAGAGTTTTGTACTGAAGATACATGTGCAATAATGTCAGCTGGACCAAAATATGAATACCATTGGGCTGATGGTCACACAGTGAAAAAACCAATAAAATGTTCTGCCCCAAAATACATAGATTATTTAATGACATGGGTTCAAGATCAATTAGATGATGAAACACTATTTCCTTCAAAAATTGGGGTTCCCTTCCCAAAAAATTTTCTTTCAATCGCAAAAACGATCTTAAAGCGCTTATTCCGCGTTTACGCGCATATTTACCACCAACATTTCAGTGAAGTAGTCCAATTGGGCGAAGAAGCTCACTTGAATACTTCATTTAAACATTTTATATTTTTCGTGCAGGAATTTAATTTAATCGAACGCCGCGAGTTGGCGCCTTTACAAGAATTAATCGATAAACTTACAGCTAAAGAGGCACGGTGAACATTTTTCTTCGAGAAAAATCATTGAATTTATACAAATAATTAACCTCTAAAACACGCTTAATGATTTTTATTTTTTATATATTCGCACTGCCACAAGTCTTATTTGAAGTTTGGTTAGTTGACAGATGAAATGTCAATTTGACAGATAATATATGAACGTATCCATGGAACTTGAGGAATAATTTCTGGAATTTAGATTTAAATTCATTAAAGTAATCTGTTTTAATTTTTGAATTTGATAAAATAACAACAATATAAACTCATTTGATACTAATGATTTTGACAGGTTAAATACCAAAACAATTTTTTGGATAAAGATCGAATATCATACTGACTGTGTTAATATTAATAGTAAATAACATTATTTGGATGAAATTAGCTTAAAAGAATAATACAGAGATGATGTTTATAAACATCAAAATGGAAACGTCAATTTGACAAGTAATCTGTCAATTTTCATCTTAAAAGTTAATACCAAATTTAATTTATTTAAAACGGATGAAATCAAATTGATGACTCATAGTCAAAGAATTGATAAATAATCATATTATCATTATTATTAAAGTAATCTGTTTTAATTTTTGAATTTGATAAAATATCAACATCAATATAAACTCATTTCATAGTAATGATTTTGACAGGTTAAATGTCAAAAAAACATTTTGAATCAAGATCAAATATGATATTAAATGTGGTAATATTAATAGCAAATAACATTATTTGAATGAAATCAGCTTAAAAGAATAATACAGAGATGTTGTTTATAAACATCAAAATGAAACGTCAATTTGACAACTAATCTGTCAATTTTCATCTTTAAAGTTAATACCAAATTTAATTTATTTAAAACGGATATGAAATCAAATTGATGACGCATAGTCAAAGAATTGATAGATAATGGTATTATTATTATTATTAAAATAATCTGTTTTAATTTTTGAATATGATAAACATCAATATAAAGTCGTTTGATACTAATGATTTTGACAGTTTAAATGTAAAAAAAAATATTTTGAATAAAAGTCAAATATGATACTAAATGTGGTAATAGCAAATAACATTATTTGGATGAAATCAGCTTAAAAGAATAATACAGAGATCTTGTTTATAAACATCAAAATGAAAACGTCAATTTGACAACTAATCTGTCAATTTGCAACTTAAAAGTTAATACCAAATTTAATTTATTTAAAACGGATGAAGTCAAATTGATGACTGATACTCAAAGAATTGATAGATAATAGTATTATTATTAAAGTAATCTGTTTTCATTTTTGAATTTGATAAAATATCAACATCAATATAAACTCATTTCATAGTAATGATTTTGACAGGTTAAATGTCAAAAAAAATATTTTGAATAAAAATCAAATATCATACTAAATGTGTTACTATTAATAGCAAATAACATTATTTGGATGAAATCAGCTTAAAAGAATAATACAGAGATGTTGTTTAAAAACATCAAAATGGAAACGCCAATTTGACAAGTAATCTGTCAATTTTAATCTTAAAAGTTAATACCAAATTTAATTTATTTAAAACGAATGAAGTCAAATTGATGACTCATAGTCAAAGAATTGATAGATAATAGTATTATTATTAAAGTAATCTGTTTTAATTTTTGAATTTGATAAAATATCAACATCAATATAAACTCATATTGATGAAACTCTTTTGATACTAATGATTTTGATAGGTTAAATGTCAAAAAAAATATTTTGAATGAAAATCAAATATCATACTAAATGTGTTAATATTAATAGCAAATAACATTATTTGGATGAAATCAGCTTAAAAGAATAATACAGAGAAGTTGTTTATAAACATCAAAATGGAAACGTCAATTTGACAACTAATCTGTCAATTTTCATCTTAAAAGTTAATACCAAATTTAATTTATTTAAAACGGATGAAGTCAAATTGATGACTCATAGTCAAAGAATTGATAAATAATAGTATTATTATTAAAGTAATCTGTTTTAATTTTTGAATTTGATAAAATATCAACATCAATATAAACTCATTTGATACTAATGATTTTGACAGGTTAAATGTCAAAAAAAATATTTTGAATAAAAATCAAATATCATACTAAATGTGTTAATATTAATAGCAAATAACATTATTTGGATGAAATCAGCTTAAAAGAATAATACAGAGATGTTGTTTATAAACATCAAAATGGAAACGTCAATTTGACAAGTAATCTGTCAATTTTTATCTTAAAAGTTAATACCAAATTTAATTTATTTAAAACGGATGAAATCAAATTGATGACTCATAGTCAAAGAATTGATAGATAATGGTATTATTATTATTATTATTAAAGTAATGTTTTAATTTTTGAATTTGATAAAATAACATCAATATAAACTCATTTGATACTAATGATTTTGACAGGTTAAATGTCAAAAGTATTTTGAATAAAGATCAAATATCATACTAAATGTGTTAATATTAATAGTAAATAACATTATTTGGATGAAATCAGCTTAAAAGAATAATACAGAGATGATGTTTATAAACATCAAAATGGAAACGTCAATTTAACAAGTAATCTGTCAATTTTTATCTTGAAATTTAATACCAAATTTAATTTATTTAAAACGGATGAAGTCAAATTGATGACTCATAGTCAAAGAATTGATAAATAATGGTATTATTATTATTAAAATAATCTGTTTTAATTTTCGAACTTGATAAAATATCAACATCAATATAAACTCATTTGATACTAATGATTTTGACAGGTTAAATGTCAAAAAAAATATTTTGAATAAAGATCAAATATCATACTAAATGTGTTAATATTAATAGCAAATAACATTATTTGGATGAAATCAGCTTAAAAGAATAATACAGAGATGTTGTTTATAAACATCAAAATGGAAACGTCAATTTAATCTGTCAATTTTTATCTTAAAAGTTAATACCAAATTTAATTTATTTAAAACGGATGAAATCAAATTGATGACTCATAGTCAAAAAATTGGTAGATAATGGTATTATTATTATTATTAAAGTAATGTTTTAATTTTTGAATTTGATAAAATAACATCAATATAAACTCATTTGATACTATGATTTTGACAGGTTAAATGTCAAAAAAGAAATATTTTGAATAAAGATCAAATATGATACTAAATGTGTTAATATTAATAGTAAATAACATTATTTGAATGAAGTCAGCTTAAAAGAATAATACAGAGAAGTTGTTTATAAACATTAAAATGGAAACGTCAATTTGACAATTAATCTGTCAATTTTTATCTTAAAAGTTAATACCAAATTTAATTTATTTCAAACGGATGAAGTCAAATTGATGACTCATAATCAAAGAATTGATAGATAATCGTATTATTATCTTTATTATTATTTAAAGGCGCCTTAAAACTAAACAACATAATTATCGATGATTAATTTCGTAACCATCGGATAACGAAGTGGTTAGCACCAAATAAGAAGTGAAAAAATTAACGGTTACGAGCGCTTTTCGTACACATAACTCGTAAATATTTTTAGAGAGTTTACACCTTGATCCTAGTACGCACTTAATCGAGCGTTTTTCGTTTCATTATAAGAATCGTCGTTTAATCGAAGGAGTTTAAGCAATTTTTTTCTTTTTAATGTAATTTTTATATCGGCTTTTTACTGTGTTTTGTGTTGATTTATTTTATAATCTTATTAGGTACTTTTTCTTTCTAATTGTGATGTGTATCGAGGATTTTTTTGTGTTGTGTATTATGTTCGTTTGTGCAATTTTTTTCTTTGTATATAACTGACAATTGTTCTATTATTAAGTCTTAATAAAAAATAAAAATCCTCTTTTTAAATTATCGAGTCTTTTAAATTTCAGCGAAAGCTCTAATAAGCGGACAAAAATCTTGTGACCCAAACCTATAGTGTTTTGTGACCTCAGTACGGCGTTCGATAGAGTTAACCACAGGATACTATTAGGAAAGTTAAGTTACTATGGTATAAGAGGCTTTGCTAAAAAAATAATGGAATCCTATCTAACAGATCGTACGTAGCGGCTCACTAACTGCACACTATGAGCGGGAGCTCCGTCCTATTGAAAATAAATATTATTTAACCGAGTAAGAGGAATATAATTCAAAATATTTGATAAAGCTTCTTGCAAGATAACTAAATAGCGATTAGCGCAAAAGTTTTCTTCACATATTTCCGCTCAATTACAACATGCTGGTTTTCTTGATGTCAATGCCTATTATTGTGACGATTATAGATTCCTGTGCTCAGGGCTGGCTCATGCAACTGCAATCCGTGCAAAGCACGGGGGTGCAGGCAAATAAAATGTAACGTCCCGACGAACAGCGGTGGCGACGATTATTATAGTACTCCTACTACAGTGCTCCTACTTATTGATAATTGTGTTATGTAGTTGCTTAAGGAGCACGTGCATAATGTTAAATAATGAAATACAACGGTAAGTATTTTGAAAATTACAGTAATATGTAATTGGGAAACTATATGATACCTCACCTGTTGGTGGTGCGATGTTCTATTGAGAGCTTTTGAATAAAATTATTAATTCCAGATGTCCGAACAAAGAAAAAAACCATCGGGCAGCCAGCAGAGGAAATTAAAAAAACGAAAACAAGATGAAATTAGACGAAGGGTGTAGTAAACCCTTTACAAGATTTTTTGAAAGTATTCCATCGACGTCTACTGCGAGTGGATTCAATGAACAAAATAGAAACGACAATCAAGATGAAGAACAATGTAATCTACCAGAACAAAAAAATAAAGGAGAAGTGAAGAAAAAATCAGATACTGAAAACAGAGATGAGGATCTTGAAAAAGATAAAGAGCATCATAATGATTTATGTGACCTATCTATAATAAAAGCTGATGATGGTGAATGTTGTCAAGGTTTAAATAAGAGTTTAATTAATTTAAGAAATCTCAGATTATAGCCAGATGTTGTGGAAGATAAAGATAGAGTTTTCTTAGTCGAAAATAAACCCGAACAAGTAAAAGATATAGCATTTCCTAAGAACTGCTAAGAGAAGCTATTCTAAAAGGTACTACAATAAAATCCTTCCAAATAATGAGTTGGTGTCTAGAAGTTGGTTGTTCTATTCATCATCAAAAGATACAGTATTTTGTTAGTCAATTAGTCAATGGCGGTTATAATGATTGGCGTCATTTGTTAGAAGCTCTGTGTGTTTATGAAAGCTCACTAATTGTAAGTCATATAAAATGTTGTAAACAATAAATTAATATCATTAAAGTATACTTTGAAATTGAAAATTGGTGTGGATGCATAAATTGATATAGAAAACAAACATGGGAAGGAATTCTTAAAAGAATTATTTTATG